ATACATACTCACACAAAAAGTATAATTTTTTTTGATTCTCTAGAAATTGTTTATAAAATACCTTACTTGGCAAAACAACGTTTGCCGGATCAGCTAGTTATAAATAAATACTGTAACATTGTCTAATATTTATAAGAATTATATGAACTGAATTGCAATGTTGAAAATATTTGTTTAAAGTATATTAGAACTTAATCTAAATTACAATTAAAATCAGAATTATTTTCAATATACGAAAAAAAATATTTTTTGGAAAAAAAAATTTGAAAAAAAAATTAAAACAATTTTTTTTTCCAAAAGCAATTATTTTGTTTAAACAAGCAGAAAGTTCTTTGAATCATTCAAATCGGATGCTTAGTTCTCTCAAAAACTGTCATTTTTTGCACATTTCCGAACCTCCGAAACCGAACACCCCTTCTTCTTCCCGTCATTACGAATTGAATTTTCAATTGGTTCATTCAAATCCGATGCTCCGATCTCTCAAAAACCCGATTTTTGTTTTTTGCACTCTTTGCTCCATATCTCCGAAACGGACCTGCCTTTGTCAAAAACTAATCAGCACATCTCCCTAGCAATAGGAATCGAATGTTTTTTAAACCATTCAAATGGATTGATCCGTGCGCCCGAAAACGTGGACAAGAAATTGTATCTATACATACATACACACACACTTACATCCGTTTTTTAAGGTATGCCAAAGTGTTCAAAAATCTTCAAAACATGAAGATATACAAAATTTTCTATTTCGATTTTTGGATTTTTATTGACTAAGGTAAATTGCCTATGAAAAGTTCAAAAAAATTCTTTCAAACATTCAATAAAATTTTGAACAACTAATGTATGGCATCGTGCCTTAAGGCAAATTGCTGGAACTTCCCGTACCGTAACGAAATGTTCGAGGAATATTGAATGTTTTCAAAGAGATAAATATTGTATTATAAATATTTATAATAAATATCATAAATAAATACTGTAACAATTTCTAATATTTATAAGAATTATAAAAACTGAATTGCAAAGTTGAAATTATTTGTTCAAAGTTTATTAGAACTATAGTCAGAATTAAAAATAAAATCTGAATCATTCAAATCGGACGCTTAGTTCTATCAAAAACTGCCATTTTTGCACAATTTAGCTCTGTATCTTCGAAATGGCTAGACCTTCCATTACCAGAAACTAATACCACCACTTCTCCCAATCATTATTAATTTAATGTTTTTTGAATAATTGAAATCGAATGCTCAGTTCTCTCAAGAACTCGATTTCTATTTTCTGCACTCTTTGCTTCGTATCTCCGTAACTGCTTGACCTGCCTGTACCAAAAACTAATCAGCACATCTCCCTTTCAATAGAAATCGAATGCTTTTTGAATCATTGAAATCGGTTGATCCGTGCGCCCAAAAACGTGACCGAAATATTGTATCCATACATATATACGCACACACATCCATCTTTTCTAAGGTTCGAAACGTCGGGAAATGCAAAAACTTTCAATTTCGATTTTTGGACGATTACAATAACTTACCCTGCGGGAAGTCGAAAAGTACTTAATATTTTGTTATACATGTAATAATCGTAAACTTGTCTAATATTTTTCTTTAATCTTGCCTAACATTTATATATAGTTAATTCATGTTTAATACAAAAATTTTATAATAACGTTCAATATTTATTCAGTTAATAAACAATTATTAAGAAGATTTATAGAATTATATAAACTTGTATAAATTTGGCATAAGGGACATTTCGCCTACAAGCAAGTAGAGAAATCTTCAAGATATGTGTATATAACACTGCGTGACAGTAAATTATTTTCCTGTGATGTTAATGACGGTTTTTAAGTAATTCGAGGATGCTGATTCTGAAAAAAAAAATTACTAATGGGTTTAATTCAAAACTCATAAACAGACAATTGACATGACAATGACAATTTCATAACAAGTTTGAGGAAAAAAACTTTTATCGTTTTGACGATAGAATTACAAACTTTAATAATATTTAAAATTAAACCGCTTTTTATATTATTTTAGGATATTCGTTAACATCATAAACTCTGTTATATTATAAAAATGACATCAAAATTGTCAAACACAAACTTCTTCAACAATTGATTATGGAGGAATGCCACGCCTAAACTTTACCA